ATTTACCTAAATTTTCTTTGAGAACACTGATCACTTTTAAATGACATCTTTGAGTTATTTTTCTGTCATTCCAATCCATATGCGTATCATTACCATAGGGGCCAGAACAGGTGTTACATCCCCTAGAACTGGAATTACACATGGTTGTTAGTTACCATGTGGGTGCTAGAATTGAACCCAAGTCCTCTCCAAGAGCACTCAGTGCTTTTAACTGCTGAGCCATCTCTCCATCCCCAAGAATTTCCCACCCTAAGCTACATTTTTGCAGTATGAGCTAACAATCCTAAGCTATCTCTTTACTCTCAACTGTATTGGAGGCAGGAGTCTACCTTTGCCCAGCCTTCCTATGGTCTAGAGCCCTGTTAGTGTGGTGTTTCTATTACAAATATAACATTTATTATTTCTAAATTTCACCTTGTCTCTACCGTCTACTATTAACTCATATGCTCCCTTCCCTACCATGGCACCAGCATTTCCCTACAGTCACTGATGGTTATGATAAATGGCACTGGTTACCACGTGGAAAGGTCATGGCCACAACAGAACCCAGTGGTACTTTTTAGAGCTTTATTAGGAGTGAAAGGGGGAAAGGGAAATAGGGGAGCCAGGCCTGGGGGGAGGGAGCAGAGCAGAGAGGGAACAGAGAGAGAACACCGAGAGAGGGTAGGGGTCCACATCCAGCTTTTTTTTTTCAGAGCTGAGGACCAAACCCCAGGCCTTGCACTTGCTAGGCAAGCACTCTACCACTGAGCTAAATCCCCAACCCCACATCCAGCTTTTTTAAGGCATGTAAGTAGCTGCCGCCAGGGCCCCTTGATGACATAAGACGCAAGACACAAAACCCCCAAGCTGCGCATGTGCCCAAGTGAGGGCAGGATCCTAACAGTCACATATCTGGGGTTTTGATCCAAATGTGTGAAGATGCAAAAAAGTACCAGGTGCCTGTAATCTACTATTTCCTTCCCAGTAACCAATCTTCCATTTTAAATTACCAAAGAGCATAAGCCTACCTTCAATCATAATGATATTTGAAGAACACATTTTAAAAATGTGCTTATTCACATGAAAAATTCAAAGGGGAACTGCTCTCCTAATATTTAAAGTAATTTGCTATATTAAATCATAGAAAACTATATCCACAATGGCCATGTGAGACTTGTAAACCTAAAACAAAAATGAAAACAAAAACAAACAAACAAAAACCCAGAAAGTGTTGTTTTTAACAAAATCTCAATCATTCAATTTTACCAATAAAGACTCAGGAGCCAGATGCCAGAGTGAAAGCCTGATAGCTCTAAGAGGCAGAGAAAACACCCAGCTGGCCTTCCTCCTCAGCCAACATCCGTGAAGTCTGCCCCCTTTCTCCTATGCCTTCTCAGGAAAAACCCTCAAACTCCAATTGCATGTCCCTCCTTTCTGTTTTCTGTGGATCTCTCTATCCATCCTCCTGACTCCCTCTTACTCTCTATGGTATTTTCTTGTTCACTTCCTGTCAACTGGTTGCTTGCTCTGCCTCTTGACCTATGGTTGACTTTGTTTAATCCTGTTTACAATATTCAAGCAGAAAGCTCTTGGATTAAAAGTTTGTGCTAGGGCTGAGTCACACCACAACTAGAAACACGTTTTTCCAGTAAATAACACAATCTCGGGGTTCACAGTATGATCACATATCCTGCAACAAGAAAGTAGAGGAAAACACAAATACTAGACAGAGTTCTGTGTCTGTGAGTCCACACATGTGCTTTCCTGTGTACACTTGGAAAGTGTCCAAAGAGCACACATAAAATGCAGAAACATTTATTCCAGAGTATTTTCTTACTTAATAAAATCCATGAGAACATTTAATCTGAACTATGAACCCCAAAAACTTTCCCTCTCCTATGCAGCCTTATAAAGATAGATATTCCAGTCTAGGGCCAGGATTATGAGCAAGAGGACATGGATTCCTTTTCCTTTAGTTTACACTGAAATGCTGCTAAAGAGTTATATGTGCTAAATCTATGAGAAAAAATGCTTTTGATGATTGACAGAAAATCGTTATTCTACATATTCAAGAATATCAAACAAGTCCAATAACATAAGCACAGATTTAGATCCTGAGACATCACAGTAAGAATGCTGAAGGGAGAGGAAAATTCAGGAAATCACAGAGAAAAGCAACTTGTCACTTAGAAGTGAGTATAATTGATAACTTCACACCAGAAACTGTCCATCCTAGAAGACAGTCAGTCATCACTTGTTTGATAAAGACATTAATGAAAAAATCTTATATCCAGCAAAGCCAAGTTTCACAGACAAGGGTGAAATGAAGACTTTATGTCTAAGCAAAAACCAAGAGGACTTCCTGTACTCTTGCCCTAAAACAATGTTAAAGTAAGATCCTCAGCCTGAAGCCTAGAAATATCAGACACTATTCTAAACCTCTGAAAAAACAACATAGACAAGAAATGTAATTAGGCCATTATAAAAGAGCATTAGGTGGGCACTTCTTACTTATACTATCACTTTAGTTTCTTTGAGAATAAGTATTATTCTTATGTATACTATCACAATGCAAAGTAAGATCCTTAGTCTGAAGCCTAGAGATCAGACACTAATCTGAACCTCTAAAAAACAACACAACACAGGAAATGTAATTAGGCCATTATAAAAGAGCATTAGGTGGGCACTTCTTACTTATACTATCACTTTAAGTTCTTGGAGAATAAGCATTATTCTTATGTATATCATCACTTAAAAGACAACTATATAAAACACTACTACATCATGGTACCATTAGACTTACAACACACACAAAGGCACATTCTTGACAATGACAGTATAAAGGCAGATGGGAACAAAGCGGAACTAGATAGATAACTGACATTATTTCAGTAACTTGTATCTCTGGAACCAAATGAACATAAGTAGAGTGGCAAATAGGATTAAATAAGAAACTCTATGAATATATATTTACTCTCCTCTATCAGACTCTTTAATATGTACGTAATCATACAAAGTAATCACTCTAAAATATATTGTTGAGGTTGATACATCTATAAATGATGTAAGATAATATCCTTTGGTCATATGACAAGGAATATATATTATATATGTGTGTGTATATATATATATATATATATATATATATATATATATATATAAACACAGAAAGGGAAGTCATAGGGCTATTTTGTAATAACTAAATAGATCATAATAATCAAGTTGGTATAAATCTAAAATCAATTCTCAAAAATTCAAATACATCATATATATATATATATATATATCCTAGAACAAACCACTATGAATATAAACTCAAAAGCAAAAAATTTAATAGTTATAAATATGTTTACCCTTAAAAACAGAGTTTCAAAATACAAAAAGAAAATACTGAAAGATTTGAGAGACAATTTAACAACAGTAGTTGGCAACTTCAATATCTACTTTCAATAATGAACAGAAATGGACAGAAGACTGATAAAGAAATAAACGACTTAACCAAAGCTGTAAGCCAACTAGAATGATTAAGCATCTATAGTACATACCACACAAAAGGAAAACCAGCATCCATGTTCAGCACACCGATGCCATTCTCTGTGAGACATGAGAAAGCCTACACACCTTGTAAAGGTTCCAGCTATACTAAGTATGTTGTCTAACCACACACACACACACACACACACACACACACACACACACACACACACACAAAGGGAAACAATAAATGAATATGAAAACATTGGAACTCATCAACATGTCCAAATTAAACAGCACACTTCTAAATGACAACATAGGTTGTCATTTAGGTTCAACATAAAAGTGCAAATTGGAGAGAATACACTAAATGAATGAACATTTAAAGTATCATTTCAAAATCCATAGGCTGCTGCTAAAGCACTCAAGGAAAACTTACTATAGTAAATGTCTTGATTTAGAACAGAAGCATCTCAAATAAATACCTGGATCTTCGCCCTTCAGATAATGGAAAAAGCAGAGCTTAAGTCCACAGTAAGCATCAAGTAATGAAAGAAACTGCAGATCACAACAGAAGCACAGTAGAGAAAAACAGCAAAATCAAACCAGTTCTTTGGGAGGATTAATGTACTGGTAAGCCTTTGAACAGACTGAACAAGGACCAAAGGAAGACTCCCAGCGAAATGGTTCAATGGGTGGTGGCACTTGCTGCCAAGTCTGATGACCTAAGTTTGATCCCATCCTGAGAATCCACATGGTAGAGAGAGCCACCTCCTCAAAGCTGTTCTCTAGCCTCCATGTGCACACTGTGGCACGTGTGTACCCACACACATACAAACACGCACGTTTTTTTCCAAGTAGAAGACTGATATTACCTTGGCTGACAAGCCTTCTGAGATCAATATCCCCTCACACACCCTTAGGTTCATTAACAACCACAAGTCAGATGCATTTGTTCACATGAAAGCTATGTGGAAGGCTCTTCAGTTTGTCGCCTTCACTCTGAATCTCAAGATTTGTGAGATTCACCACACACTCCTAGTTAAGACCCTCCTTCATGTCTGCTCCAGAAGGCTCCTCCAACTTCAGGTCCCATTGTATAACTTTTGATCTTCTTTTCCGCTCACCATCAGAGTAATATAGGTTTGAGAATATTTATTTACAGTTTTATTGATGAACAAATTAGACTTTCAAATCCAGTCATACAAACACACTAGTGTTTCTATTCTGAATCAGTGGCAATTAGCACTTGAAGGGGTTCATCATACATGAAAATATTGGTTGGGCTTAGTGGCACACACCTTTAATGCCAGCAGAGTCTGGTGGACCTCTGGGAGATTAGGGCCAGTCTGATTGACACAGAGACACCCAGGGCAGTCAAGACTAGACAGTGAGACTTCTCTCAAAATAAATAAATAAATAAATAAATAAATAAATAAATAAATAAATAAATAAATAAAAGATATAAAGAAAGAATAGAAGAACTACAAAGGTTCACCATGGATACTAATCTTAAATGGTCATTTAAGAAAATACTCAGAAAATAATTTTAGTTGCTTTATGAAATTCTTATCTTAGACTAGAGGATAAGCATGTGAGTGTTATATATCACTCTGGAGGTCAATTATATTAGTTTTTGTTGTTACATTTTCCACTTCATACATTTCAGGGTCATATGGTTAGAGACTGAAGGAAGTATGACACATGAAAACCAAGAACTCAAGTCCAAGTCTGTCTGCAGGAGTGGAGACACAGATGCCTATGCCTAATTGTGTCCCAGTCACTGATCTACAAAAGAAGTTCTAAGCATGCCAAGCATGAAAGTCTTTAGAGCTGGTCCAGTAACTATAAACTACGATATCCCTGCAGCTATGGCTGATCGTGTCTCATAATGCTACCCTGGATGATGTAGAGGTTTAGATTGCAGGGTTGCTTTTTTGTTGTTGTTTTTTTTTTTTTTTTATTTAACCTGTACTTTGCTCTTTTCTTTTTAGCAGATACTAAAAGCTACAAAAAGGAAGCATCCAGGCCCTGTCTATGCCGCTGGAGGCCTGCGCGTGGCTGCTCTGTTGCATTCTAGGGCTACTGACCCTTCTCGTCTCCCACGTTCCTCAGGACCACAGCTCTAGTCTTCCTTCCTACCCAGGACTCTACATTGAACCTTTTTTGCTTCTGTTTTCTGGGAGGTCTCTTGTAACTTTTTATTTGTATTGTTTCCATTAATGCAGCCTCTACCCAACAGATCTAAAATCTTCGCATAGGTGGTTATATTCTACCTACCACCACAAAATACTTCCAAATTGATTTGTTGTCTTTTTTCCATCAATTACAGCCACCAATAACATTTATTTATTAAGTTCTTGCTTTCTGCCAGTATCTCTACTGCTTTACACCATTCTGTCACACTGAACTGTGACTAAAGACATGCTAAATGGACAGCCACTCTTAATACAAGGCTATGGTCAACCCTATCTTACCTCAACACAGAAGTGCAATCTATAGAATAAAGTATTTTGAAGACTTACAGAGTGTACAATACTAAATTAATCTAGTATACTACTGAATTATATTTCTATTATGAAAAACAAAGTTATCACTGTGCCCTTCTTTCTTCCTACTTATTTCTTATGCTATTCTTAACTTCGTAGAAGCCATAGTTTCAGATATGCTCTAACTATATTAGTTTAATTCTTTAAAAAATAATATATAAAGTATTTTTGCATTAATTCCAAAATTGTTTTCTATAACAAACCAGGTTGATATTAAATTTGGTATGATAATTTAAAAAAAAAACCACACACAATAATTTTTATGACTCTTTCATGTTGTATTTTGAAATTCTAGGCTGTTGTGAATCAAAACTCTTGTATTATTATTAAGAATTACACTAGGCTGGGGATGAGCATATTTTTTAATACAGACAGGAAATGAACAACTTGGCTCTGGAAATGTGGAGGCTTTCTTTTGTCTCATTGATATACGACACAGTCCTATCAATAGGTCTGAAAACTATTTTCACTCTTTCTACACATTAGCAATAAGCAGTATGTGCAAGTCTGACTATCAGCAGCCGTGGCGTGCGCACACACTGAGTTCCTTTCCAGTCAACAGCCACTTCTAATATTTCAGAACAGCATGTGCGCAGACAATGGTCACAGATATCCATCCAAGCTGGAGAAGCGGAAGACAATGCAGGCTTGAGGGTTCAAAGGAAGCTGCCACTCAAGAGGTTCCACTCCTCATCCAAGGGCTCCATGGGACCACTGTCTTCCTCCTTCGGGCAAGAGAATGAAGCAGTTAGATTACTGGCACCCTTCTACAGTGTACAGCCTTGCTAGAGTCCAATTAAAGATAGTAAAAATTAAACATGAGAGAATGTAGAAATTTTAAAATATCTTCACAGGTTTGTTATCTTTGTAATTTTCTTACAAGGTCTACCATAATTTTACTTCTATGTCAGAAAGAATTAGAGTACAATGTCACAGCCACAGGTATTTTCAACCAAATTAATACTATATTACAAATGAAACACTTACATGTCAGATCTAATAAATAAAATGAAGTTTTAAATTGATATCAATTTCATGTGTAATGATCACAGCTAGATAGTAACCACTTCTCCCTGGTCCAAAAGCATCTTAAAGGTGTTACTAATTCCATAGTTAAATGCAGACTAATACATGGCACAGTACTTTGGGGGTATAGCAATCCATAGGTTTCCCAATGTGGTGATTTGAATAAGAATAACCTCCACAGGCTCATCTGTTTGAATATTTGGTTCCCAATTGGAGGAACTATTTAGGAAGGATTAGGGGTTGGGTGGAGGTATGTCACTGTGGGAAGGCTTAAAAGCCCAGGCCATTCCCAGTTAGCTCTCTCTGCATTGGGGTTGTGTCTCGAGATGTTAAGATCTTAGCTACTGCTCCAGTGTCATGCCTGCCTGACTGCTGCCATGCTCCCCACCATGATGATGCAGGCCCAGTATGCTACCTGACCCAAAGTAAATGCTCCAAGGAAGAGTGCACATGTGCATGTGTGCACATTGCACATGCAAGTGTATATACATGCACAAAAAAGTAAGGTAAAATGACAGCAGCAGGTGTTTCTATTTTACTTCTTTTTTATTTGTATCAAAATTATATTGAGGCCATTTAACTAATTAAATAAGTAAAAATGTTTGCTATGAAGACTACCTGTACTCTCTCACATTCAGCAACTTTCTAATCATTCTTTCCACGAATGATTTTTACGACCATCACAGACCATGATCCTAAGCACATCATCCAATTTGCTTGAATATTAGGTGTTGACTGTCCCAGTGGCCAGGGAAGATTTGAAGTTCTTTCCCCTGGTCAGTCCCTCCTCCCCAACACACAGAGGCACACCACCCAAGACTAGTGCATCAATCCCACCCTGCAAATATATTTATACTGTAATTTTGGCTGAACCAATTATTTTATATTATAGTAATAATAAATAATATTCAGAACGAAACTACAGGTTTCACTTGATTTTTTTCTTTCCTGCGTGTTGCTTTCTCTGAATTAAATAAGCATATTAGATGTTTCACAATTAATTCAATCCAATACTACCTATCAATTGTCCTACTTGCTTCAAGAAGCTAAGGCATATGTTGTGGCTGGGTAGAATGGCACAGACCTTTAATCCCAGCACTTATGAGGCAGAGGCAGGCAGGTCTCCTTGAGTTCAAGGCCAGTCTGGTCTACATAGCAAGTTCAAGTCCTGCTAGGCTATATAGTGAGCTCTGGGCTTTGCATTTACATCTCTGCCAAAACTTCTTCTAGAAGCTCATACCCAACTCAGCCACATCTGCACTGACTGATGTCTATGTCTGGGATCTCACTTCACTGCCATCCTGGGTGTACTGGGTCAGCTGGAAAGCAGACTGTCTTTTTGACAGTGCACAAGAGACTGGGTGAGGAGGAAGAGACCAGAAACCATGGGTTCTCGGGAAGGGGCTCCTCCACCCTATTCTAGTGAGGCAGCCGAAGTTCCCTAATACCAGTTCTTCTGAGTGCTCTCCACAAGGCAAGTACTTCTAGGCTTCTGCCAGGCTGTAGAGGGGATTTTAAGGTGTAATTGCTTCTCAAACGATATTCAACCAACACAGCTAATGCCTTCCAGTGTCCAGAAACACCTGTTGCAAATCCCCAGGCCTCTGAGAGCCCATCATGAAAACATCTGCTACCTCCATCACCATGCCACCACGTGCTTCCAGCTTCTAAGGCACGTCCACCTCTGTCTTTCTTCTGTCTTTCTCGTCCTTGTGAATTTGCACACTTAAAGAAGTTCGCTTTTCTGTTATTTTAATGTGATTTGTGGTAAAAAAACAAAACTGTCAGTGCTCAATCAGTGATCATTATTTGTGACAAACATTCCTTTTGATGCATTCTGTGTATTTTCTAAACTCTTTCTGATAACCATGTCATCTGGTCATCAGAATATGAATCTGTTTGATAAAACAATCTAAAGAAATGACAAGTAAACAGAGGTAATCAGGCTTGCATTCTCCTCTTTGGGAAGTCTTCCAAATACCCATTTGTCTAACCATAAACAGGGAAGCTTAAATGTAGAATGAATTTTCTGTTCTGCAATGATTATTATTCACAATAATAACCTTCAAGAATGACCACATTCTAAAGAGTCTGTTAAATCAATTCTTTCGATATAATTATAACAGATGTTATCTTTCATATGCCTATTTTGAACCTTAATTTGTCATCTATAAAGAGACCCCAGGGAATGAATGCAATTCAGATCCCTTTAGAGAATTTCCTGAAAAGCTGCGAACAATACAAATGCACGTGTGCACACATCCTGGCCCTCAGAGGCTGCCGAAGGTCAGAGGCTGATGTCAGGGACAAAAAGTCTGACTCAGCTAACTGACTATCTACTAAAGCATCCCTTTTAAAACAAGAGCATGGCCCACAGAATCAACTAAGCAGAGCTCATAGGGGCTCACAGAGACTGGACTGACAACTAGGGAACCTGTAGGAGTCTGAGCTTGGTCCTCTGTATATATATCATGGTTGGATAGCTTGATGTCCTTGTGGAACTCCTAACAGTGGGAGTAGGGGCTGTCGCTGACTCTTTTGCCTGCTTTTGGGACCCTTTTCCTCCTACTGTGTTGTCTCATCCAGTCTTGATATGAGGGTATATATCTAGTCTTATGACATGTTGAGTTGATATCACTGGGAGGCCTGCTCTTTTCTGAAGGGAGGCAGAGGAGGAGTGGATCTAAGGAAGAGAAGAGTTGGGGAGGGAAGGATCTGGAAGGAGAGGAGGGAAGGGAGACTGCAGTGGGGACGTCATATGAGTGAAGAATAAACAAACAACAATATTGACACGGGATTAGTGATGGCTCAGCAGTAAAGAGCACTCGTTCTTGCAGAGGACCTGGGTTTGGCTCCAGCACCTAGAACATGGTAGCTCACAACCATCCCAACCTCAGTTCAGGGAATCCAAACTCCTTGTCTGATATTGAAAGTACCAGGTGCACACATAGTACACATACATACGTGTAGGCAAAACACTTGTACATACACAATAAATATATCTAAAAAAAACTTTTTTAACTTAAAAAAAATGGTGATATGCTAAGAATGAAAACTCTTTTTAACTGGCCATTTTCTGGGCACAAGTGGCACTTCCTTGGGGTGGGTTGTACAAGTTTCCCCGACTTGGTCTTAGATGTGAATACCTGTCTCAGTCCTAGCTGAAAGCTCCCGCAGGCAGCTCAGAACAATCTCACACAAAAGAAAGAGGTTGAAATTTAATGTGCTTCTATTATAACCAAGGCCACATAGCTACCTGCTTTTCTCACATAGCCACTAATCACAGAAAGGAAAACAAAGAAACACCGAAGAAGAGAAAGGGAGAAACCAGGAGTGGCAATTGTTCTTGAATACTCCAAGGAAAGATATGGGACACAGGGTGTAGAAATTAAAGCATCAGAAATAAGGACAGCAGACGCCACAGTTAATTATTTAAAGTTCACAGAAGTACCCATTGGTGCAACAGAGTAAGAATCATTCAAATTAGAAATACATAAAATTGTTATTATTAACAAATACTACTATGGTTTAGCTAGAAAACTCAAAATTAGGAATTGAGAGTCATTAGAAACTATACGAAAGCATCATTAGAAAAGCAGGGACCAACCTAACAAATTATGTTTTTCATAAAACATTAATCAATATAAAAATAAAATGGAACAAGATAATAGTCAATATGGACCATCACAACCATCATGATGACAGTGAGTGCTCATGCTTCGTGAATGCTAATCTTCTGCTTAATATTACCTCACAAGTTCTCAAACAGCTCTAGGAACTTAGAACACCTGCTGTCTCCACTTCGTTTATGAGGAAGCAAAGGCTGAATGACTACTGATAATTTGCCCAAGGTGGGGACAGTGGAGGGTCTGCATTCACCATACTGTGTTCACTGTCCAGCCACACCCAGTTGACTCTGCCCAAATATGCCACCCAGAGTAGCTTCAACGAAGGGACAAAGTATGTGAAATATAGTCTTAAAATATATGAATAACAAAAATTACAGTAATTGTACTAAGCAAATATTTACCCTTTGTCCCTCAATATTATAAAGAAATAAACTCCCTTAAGTGATACATAATACAAATCATACATTCTAGTAGTATTCTTTCCTTCCTTTTTCTTCTTGTACTTTGTTATTTCTGTTCTTCTGATAAAATGATTCTCTAGTTTATCTGGAAATTTTAAACGTGAGAACTGCCAAGAAGAGACTGGTAAGGGGCCTTGTCCACACTAATGTCACAAGCACTGCACTTAGTGACACCACTAGACAAAAAGAGGGAACAGAACAGGGGTGCTGGGGATGAGCCAAGGACCAAGGAACTCAATGTAAAAAGTCATCCTTATGCAGATCAGCAATGACTAGAAGTCATTCTTATGCAGATCGGCAATGACTAGAAGTCATCCTTATGCAGATTGGCAATGACTAGAATTCCCTAAAAACTGGATGCTGGTAAAAGTGAAGAGGAGCGCCTGGCTAGTTGGCATATGGACTGACACAACTCTTGAGGACAGTAATCTTTTTTCTGAGTTAAAATAAAACTCAATAATTACATTACTAAGAGGTTTTGGGTTTGTTGTTGTTGTTGTTTTTGGTTTTGGTTTTATGAGACAAGGCTTCTCTGTGTAGTTTTGATGCCTGGCCTGGATCTCACTCTATAGACCAGGCTGGCCTCGAACTGACTGAGATCCACCTGGC